TTTAACTCTGGGCCCGACCAGCCCATTGGCCTGGGATCAGGCTTCTTGTTTTAGTTGTTTAATTGGGCCAAGCCCATTAGTATTCAAGAAACCTCTTGTAAGCGCCTATAAATAGGCCGCCCCTCTTGTTGTATTGGATAAGTCACTTTTACTGTACTGAATTGCTGCCGAATTTTCTACTCAACACATTTTCTACCAACAATTATTATTATCATCATCATCATCATTATTATTATTGCTATTATTATTATTTTGTTACGTAGTATTATTATGATTAAGTGAGATGTGGTGAGGTTTTAATTTCTTCAATTGTGTCAAGAGTCATCTGCATGAAACTTGATGTATTGGGTGAGAATTAAAACAAAATCAAACTACCCCACAAAATTGGAAAAAAATAAACTCAGATTTATGTCTTTTTGTTGTAAAACCCACGAAATGACAAATGTGAATTGTTCATCCTTGTCATCATCCTTGTAAACAGGACACTAAGCTTCTTTCCATCCTTGTAATCATAGATAGACAGATGACTAGGTTTAATAGTGCCAGCAAAATATGTAGAAGTAGTCTTTGACGATTCATCACCAAGTCCAGCTAGTATAAATATGGCTTAATCAAACCTTTGTAATGTAATTTAGAAACTCAGAAAATATTTAAATTAAGAAGAAATAACAAATTAGAGCTTTTATTAATATATCTATCTCTTAAGTTTAGTCTTGATCTTCTTCATTTCACAACACGTTATCAACACGAATCAGCTCAAACTCTTCAAGAGATCATCTTCCTGCAGATATGGATCACTCAAATGATAAAAAGATACGTCTGATAGACAGCGCCACAACGCACACAATTCTGAGAAATAAAATATATTTTTCTCAAATGACTTTAGTTGAAGCTAAAGTCAATACAATATCAGGTGTTGCGAAGCTCATTGAAGGCTCTGGAAAAGCATATGTGATGCTCCCTAACGGGACCAAAATAATTATAAATGATGATTTATACTCCACCAAATCACGGAGGAATTTATTAAGTTTTAAAGATATGCGTCAAAATGGTTATCACATAGAAACCGTGAATGAAAACCAAAAGGAATATCTTTGTCTAACGATAACTAAATCTGGCACTAAATGTATTTGTGAAAAAATGCCAGCATATTCCTGAGAACCATATTTCACTCATATTAGTCCATTCGAAATAAATTTGGTTTCTAACACAAAGATAGATGATCAGAAAACATTCATGTTGTGGCATGACCATTTAGGTCACCCAAGCCAAGTAATGATGCATAAAATCATCAAGACTTCACTTGGACACCCATTAAAGAATATCAGGGTTCCATTATCAATTGATTTTCCTTGTAAGGCCTGTTCTCTTGGCAAAATGATCACCAGGCCTTCTATGAACAAAATTGCAACTAAATCACCTGCATTTTTAGAGAGGATTCAAGGAGATATATGTGGGCCGATAGCCCCACCATGTGGACCATTTCGATATTTTATGGTGTTGATTGATGCTTCAACACGTTGGTCACATGTCAATCTATTATCGACTAGAAATTTAGCATTTGCTAAATTCCTTGCTCAAATCATATGATTAAGAGCTCATTTTCCGGATCATTCTATAAAAAGAATCCGACTTGATAATGCAAGAGAATTTACATCCCAATCATTTAACGACTATTGTATGTCGATCGGGATTGCTGTGGAGTACCCTGTTGCTCATGTCCATACACAAAATGGTCTTGCTGAATCTTTGATTAAACGATTACAATTAATCGCCAGACCATTATTAATGAAGTGTAATTTACCTTTATCAGCTTGGGGACATGCTATTTTACATGCAGCAAATTTAGTTCGGCTTAGACCAACTGCATATCATGAATATTCCTCAATGCAATTAGTTAGTGGACAAGAGCCAAACTTAGCACACATTAAGATATTTGGTTGTGTTGTTTATGTTCCAGTTGCTCCACCTCATCGTACAAAAATGGGTCCTCAAAGAAGGTTGGGAATTTATGTTGGATTTGAATCTCTCTCAATAATCAAATATCTTGAACCGATGACTGGTGACTTATTCACCGCACGGTTCGCTGTCTGTCATTTCAATGAGACAGTATTCCCAACCTTAGGGGGGGAAACTAATAAATCGGACCCAAGTACGAAAGAAATAACATGGAATGCAACAGGATTATCACACCTTGATTTTAGATCAAATATATGTGAGCAAGAGGTGCAAAAGATAATCCATTTACAAAATGTTGCAAATCAGTTGCCTGATGCATTCACATATACAAAGAAAGTGACAAAGTCACATATTCCTGCTATGAATGTTCCTGCCAGAATCGAAATTCCAACAGAGAATTTTGAAAAATCTCTTGCAAATGATTCTTCTATACGCAAAAAGCGTGGCAGGCCATTTGGATCAAAAGATATAAAACCAAGAAAAACTAAAAGGCATGAATTGATCTGTGATGCCAAAGATGTTCATCCTTCTGAACAAGCTATAAGAACATGAACAATTTGAAAATACTGGCATAGAAAATGATATCGACAAAACAAACATCTCATATGACGATCCAACTTCCTTAAACGAGGAAGATATTCCAGATAACGATTGAAATGTTGATAATTATGAAAATTCAATAAACTACGTTTCTAGTGGAATGCAATGTAATCGAAAAGATATTGATATTAATGAGATATTTGTCTATGCCATTGCCACAAATGTTATGAATGAAAATAATGACAATGAGCCAACATCAATTGAAGAATGTCGGAAACGACACGATTGGCCAAAATGGAATGAAGCTATTCAGGCCGATTAAAAATCACTTGAAAAATGTGATGTTTTTGGACCGATAGTCCCTACGCCAAAAGGCATAAAACCAGTGGACTTTAAATTGGTATTTTTGTGTAAATGCAATGAGAAAAATGAAATCATAAGATATAAAGCCCGACTTGTTGCCCAAGAGTTTTCTCAAATGCCGGGAATTGATTGTGAAGAGATCTATTCTCCAGTAGTTGATGCAACTACATTAAGGTTTCTCATTGGCATGTCTGTTTTTGAAAGGCTGCAAATGCGCCTAATGGATGTAGTAACTGCATATTTATACGGTTCACTCGATACAGACATTTATATGAAAGTTCCCAGAGGATTTAAAATGTCTGAAGCTTATAGCTCGAAACCTCGAGAAATGTTTTCCATTAAACTACAGAAGTCATTGTATGGACTAAAACAATCTGGACGAATGTGGTATAATCGTCTCAGTGAATATCTTCTAAAATAAGGATATAAGAATGATCCAATTAGTCCATGTGTTTTCATTCGCCGATCAAATTCAGGATTCGTCATAATTGCAGTATATGTTGATGACTTAAACATTATTGGAACTCCCGATGAAATTGAAAATACTGCAAAATATCTTATGAAAGAATTTGAAATGAAAGATCTCGAGAGAACCAAATTTTGTCTCGGACTTCAAATTGAGCATTTGAAGAATGGAATTTTCATCCACCAATCCAATTACACCGAGAAAGTGTTGAAGAGATTCTATATGGACAAAGCTCATCCTTTGACTTCACCAATGGTCATTCAATCTCTCAACATACATGATGATCCATTCCGTCCCCGAGAAGACAATGAAGAAATACTCGGTCCCGAAGTACCCTTCCTGAGTGGTATTGGAGCGTTGATGTATTTAGCTAATAATACTAGACCAGATATTGCATTTTCTGTAAATTTATTAGCTAGGTACAGCTCATGTCCAACAAGGCGTCATTGGAACGGGATCAAACACATATTCCGTTATCTCCGCGGTACAACTGATCTCGGTCTATTCTACCACAAAGATGAAAAAGCCGCTTTAATCGGATATGCAGACGCTGGATATTTATCAGATCCTGAAAAGGGTAAATCACAAACCGGGTACGTATTTACTTATGGTAATACTGCAATCTCATGGAGATCTATGAAGCAGACATTGACAACTACATCATCAAATCATTCGGAGTTAATTGCACTATATGAAACCGGAAGAGAATGTGTGTGGCTGCGGTCTATGATTCAACACATCCAAAATGAATGCGGTATGAAGCCTATTACTTGTCACCCGAATTTGATCTACGAAGACAACACTGCGTGCATAACTCAGATTAAAGAAGGTTACATCAAAGGGGACAGAACAAAACACATATCACCAAAGTCTTCTCTACTCACGATCTTGAGAAAGAAGGGACAATCAACATTCAACAAATCAAATCCAGTGAAAATCCGGCCAATCTGTTCACCAAATCTTTACCCCCAAAGAAGTTCATAGAACTTGTGCAGAAAATCGGCATGCGCCGCCTTCAAAATTTATGTTAATTTCAGGGGGAGTATTTGAATGCACTGCACTCTTTTTTCCTTCATCAGATTTTTATCCCACTAGGGTTTTCCTGATAAGGTTTTTAACGAGACAATACGTCCAAATACAATGACATTATAAGTCATAATTTTACCCCTTAATTTTCACATTAATCTTCACAATAAATTTTTAAATACAAATAACTATTCTCAAGGATGAACAATTCAAGGGGAATATTGTAAAACCGAGGAAATGACAAGTGTGAATTGTTCATCCTTGTCACCATCCTGACATTCTTGTAAACAAGACACTAAGCTTCTTTCCATCCTTGTAATCATAGATAGGCAGATGGCTAGATTTAATAGTGTCAGCAAAATATGTAGAAGTAGTCTTTGATGATTCATCATCAAGCCCAACTAGTATAAATATGGCTTGATCAAACCTTTGTAATGTAACTTAGAAACTCAGAAAATCTTTATATTAAGAAGAAATAATGTAGAGCTTTTATTAATATATCCCTCTCTTAAGTTTAGTATTGATCTTCTTCATTTCACAACACTTTTTAAGTTTTTATTAGTTGCAAGTGGGCTGATTTTCAGCCTAAACTAATAATTTTGTCCAATCCATCCGGCCCAATAGCTCCAAGATACCGAAAAGTTGAGTAAATTGGGAGTATTACAAACGGCCTTAACAGAGAGTGAAAATGGAGATTTCTTCAGCCTGCGACATCGACGAGACGACGAACCGAACGCCAAGGAAGAACTAAGAAGGAACGCCGGCTCGCAGACCGCGGACCCCCTACCGCAGACGCCTGCCTCCCTGCCTCTTCGGCCTGGTACAGTAGTGTGCCGTGCTTACAGTCATCGAGCGGAGTCAGCTTCAGGCTTCACCGCTTCAGACTTCAGCCTTCAAGGCTTCAGGTACTCCTTCAATCCTCCGACCTCCCTCCATATTGATTAATATGATTAGTTCATTATTTGATTACTTTATTATTTGATTTGATTTCATTCATCTTTGTTTAATGTTTATATAGGAATAGTTGATAAATAATCAGTTGATTTGTTGGCTGTTGAGTGTTAATAAATGTTTTTTTCATATTCTTAATTGTTGGTTGTTATCTATTGAGTATTGATGTTATAAATTATTGAGTTAGAGAAAATATAAGTTGACCCCCATTGTCCTCATTACTGCCCCACCTCCAAGGCTCCAAAGATGGAGACATGCACATTAAGATTGAGACCATAGCTAGGTTTGGTCCACAATGCAAGCTTAGGTTTGAGGTTCCAATTAGGAATCAAATGCTTCTCAAATAGCTTAATGCTAAATTTAGCACATTTGGACCTTTCTAAACTTTGGACTAAAGAATCATATGGTTCATGAAAACCCGAATGTGCAATTTAAGAGGGGGTTAACTAGGTGAGTAGGTGAAGTCTAAAAATGTGGGGTTTAAGTAAATTTTTTATTTCCTTTCAAGAAAAAGTAAAATTTGTTATTTTGTTATTTTGAAATTGTGATTCTACTATGTTTATGTAAGGAATTTAAGTCTTTTATTTATTATAAAGATCTTGAAATATGATTTTTATGCATGTTAGTTTAGAAGGTATTTAGGAAGAAAATATTTGATCTTATTTTAAAACTTTTTCGATGTATTGATAATATTTTGAGAAATTTCTAAAAACAATATGTAGTCTTCTTTCCAATTTGATACCACCCTTTTAGACGCGATTCGATAAAAGTTATTTCATCCTTGCAAATTGATCGATAGCGCCCTGAATGTGTGCAAACTGCGATGCAGAATCGGCGTAGCGTTGCAAACTGTGAGCCCATCCTCCATCGTATACCACCCCCTTTGTAAGCCCTGCCTCTGTTTTATTTCAAAAGTACTCCTCTTCTGTTTTCTGAGTTATTTTCTTCTCTTGGTCCAAGATGGCAGTTCCAGTTGGAGGATCTATTCTATTTTGTTGGGATTGAAGAAAAATACTTGAAGCTGTATAGAGTTATTAACACTTTCATTTAAGAAATTTTTATTTTTGGCAGGTTTACTAGTTGTGTGCCCATGATTCTAAGTTTTGTTCTAAGTTTCTAACTGTTTTAATGTTACATGAACCCATTTTTTACCTATCCGCTATGCTTCAACTATTTACAACAAGGCTATCTGCTATGCTTCCACTATTTACAACAAGGCTATCCGCTATGCTTCCACTATTTACAATAAGGCTATCCGCTATGCTTCCACTATTTACAACAAGGCTATCCACTATATTTAAATCATTTTATTGTATTCAAAGCGTTTAAGAAATCTAACAGTACATTTTAATTTAATACGGAGCATATATTTGAATGGTTATATAAGTGCACTCACAATTTCAAAATGAAATCCTTATTGAATTTTTTTGTAAAATGAAATCCTTACAGTATTTTTGTGTCTTGAACTATCTTTTTTTATTGAGTTATCCACAATCATAAATTCTGCTTTTTTGAGTATTTTATTTTTTCTTACAAATAGATTGGATATTAAGAATCAGTTTTGTAGATTTATTTTAAACTACATATTTTGCCTAATTGCTGCTTCTTTATACAGTAAATGGATGTGCGATTGAACAAGAATAATAGATACTCTGTATTGTTTTTTTATTATAGTATACTCAATGAAGGGAGATACTAAATCTTGTACTTTAGTAACTACGTAGTATACAAATTCAGATAAACATGTGAACTTTTAAACTTACTGATTTGTGGTACTCTAAACTGCGAAAACGATCTACTAAAATAATTTTCCTTTCTCAAAACACTGTAATCAGTGGCGGGCTAAGGAATTCCGGGTTGGGGGGGGGGGGGGTGTTAGCGTAAACAAATACATACACACATATATATATATATATACATATATATATATATATTAAAATTTTGGAGTAAATATACCTAAATTCTTTTGGGGCCAGCGTCTCCCCCACTTGCCCCACCTTTATGTCTGCTGCTGAATGTAATTATTATAAGGAATGCCAAAATGAGACAGCCACATTTGAACTGAAATGCAGCTTCGTAGAAAGAAAAAAGTACAACGGGCAAATAAAACTCAGGCACACCGCACACCCCTTTTTCATGAAAAATACTGTTCTAGATTTCTGACCATGGACCTTCACCCGTTCACTGGTTATACTTTTTAGGTAAAAAAATACATACAAATACATACGTAGTATAATTTAAAATTTTGGAGTAAATATACCTAAAATTTTTGGGGGCCCGGCATCCCCCACTTGCCCCCCCTTTATGTCTGCTGCTGAATGTAATCTTTATAAGGAATGCCAAAATGAGAGTCACATTTAAACTGAAATGCGGCTTCGTAGAAAGAAAAAAGTAAAACTGGCAAATAAAACTCAGGCACACCCCTTTGTCATGAAAAATACTATTCTAGGTTTCTAACCATGGACCTTCACCCGTTCACTGGTTATACTTTTTTACATAAAGATCACGTCTTCATACCATCATTTTTTAGTTAATTGAAAATTGAAAATAAAGTAAATTTCGCTAACTGAAAAAGAAAGTTTGACATACTTGTATACTACGTTGGCAGTAATATTATAGTCAAACAATTAATATATTTTATCACAATGAACATAAATGGGAAAAAGTAACTAGTCGTACAAATGGGCTTGCGCTCTGGCCTTTTAATCTGCAGGGGTAAAACATTTGACCATGGAGACTTCTGAGTCTTGGACCTTGAACGTTAGTAGGTGTACAACTTCAGACCCTGAAAATCGAGAATCTCCTATCTGTAATCTCTTCAGAGAGGGGAGGCTAAAGGACAAATATTTGATTCTTTTGAATTTTTTCGAGGAACACTCTGCATTATCCTCGTGGAATCAGATAATTATTGCTGTAAAGAAGAAGAAAGTTTGAAATATTGAGCTGTGTTTTTTAGGGGGACATTTCAGCATTTATTCATATATGATTCCTATATCTTGGAAATAGATTTCTTTCTCTCTTGTCAATTCTTTAACTTTTCAATACCATAGAAGTATTCCACTGGTATGCATTTGCACGATTCTATTGTTGGAACTTGCACTCCAAGAAACACTTTACTATTATATTATCATAGTTTTTCATTTTTTAAAGGTCATGAAGAGGGCTATACCATTTGGAGAGCAAGTGGATATCTCGTCAGATGATTCTGATGTTGATGATGTGAAACCAGATCTTGATATTGACCATGTAATCAACACCAAATTTGTCATTCAGCAACCATTGAATGAATTTTCAGAAGGTATTTTAGTTGTTTTTGTGTGTTGTTGTATTGTTTTGTATACTGCATTATGTTCTTTCTTATTGCATTTATTTGCAGCATAACCTCTAATCAATGCTTGCTTTGGTTTTCATTTGAAGAAAATTGATAAATACTATTTTTCATTTAAATACAGAGGGATTATTTTTATCTCTTTGGCCATGAGTTTTTTTAGTCTGTAATTCTGCATTATATGGAGGTATACCATTTTACAGGAGAAAGGTGTCATTTTTTATGAAGGTATGATAAACACTATTGAGCTTTCATTTAATTTTAACTTTGCTCGTTAAAGTTCATGTCCTTTTAGTTACCGATTTACCATTTCACATACATAGATTTTAGAGGGGCTAGTCTCTATTTTGCGGGAAGTTCTAGGGTAATTAGAAGCTCCCCAATTTGTTAGTTACCATCCAATGTAACTTGTTTTCTAGCAAACACTCATCTGTGACTTGTACACAGAATACATATCTAGCAGTTTTCCCATCTTCTTTTAATCGGATAGATTCATGATAAAAATGAGACAAAAGTGCTCTAGTTCAGACAAAAAATAACATTTTTTGGTTATATTAGAACCAACTGGTACCAAGAGCACCAACTGGTAATTCTTCATGGTACATTTATGTTCTTTATTCCACTTATCCCCGCAATTAAAACACAGACCCCTTCTACTTCTGTCTTGTAGTTCAGTCTGGTATAACTGTTGACCATTCAGTCTGTCCTTGTTTCCCTGGGTTGCTTCATTTTTGCCGTTGCTTTAAACTTTTTCATCCGGTAGGACTCGAGTTGTCTAGATGTTGTTTTTATTTCCTTCAATCCAGGGTATATATATCTGGAATTAGTTCCCCGACGTTCTTTCCACCTTCGCTTGTCTTCCTCCTCAGAACTTCTTAACCTTAGTGCTGCATTTTTTTCTTCCAGTTAAAGTGCCCTGTCCATGAGCGCGGTCAGACTCTGAGCAGCCTGAGCTGGTATAATTTGAGTTCAGCTTTGATTTCAGCCTTCAGGCCATTCATGAAAATACCTTTAAGCATTTCAATGTCAGTAGTTCTATTGGGGGCTACTACCAGTTCAAATTTGTCCCAATACTCTCCGACCCTGTCTGTTTCACGCTAAGCATGGGACTAAAAGCGTATATTATATTATACGCATATATATGCTAGACTAAACTACTTATACACATATATGCATATACTTGTACGCGTATTGTGTCGAACTTTCATGGACAGAATAGAACTTTGAACCGTTCTGTTTATCTATATTACTCGTAGATTTCTAGCAACTTTTATCGAATAGCTACAAACTTTTTCTTTACTTTTTTTTTGAGTCAGAGCTAGTAGTTACTAAAAAGCTATTTTTTTATCTTTCTAGTGCCAAACATGCACTTAAGCTATACTGGTACATACACTTAAGCTATAAACTGGTACATACATGGAAATCTTTATAGCACTTGGTGCATGTTTGGCTGGTTCAAGTTTCTGAGTTTTAGCTATACTGGTACTAGAGATGTCAATGGGGCGGGGTTGGGGTGGGGGTTCACTCCCCCATCCCCGCCTCGTGTCTAAAAAATTGCCCCCACCCCCGCCCCATCCCCCACTACTATTCGACCCGCCCCATCCCGCTAGACCCATGGGTACCCAACGGGGAAATATTCATAAAAATTAACATTATTTTAGACCCAGACAATTTTTCAAAAATCAAACAACACTTCTAGTATGTAGGCAAAAAATCTATTAGTTTTTAAGTGTGAGTATAATCTTACATCCCATTTCAAATCTAGAACACATTATACACATTTTGATTTAGTCATTATGTTAAACACTTTATTACCATTGATTAGCTCCATAATATTTTTCTTAAACCCTTCATTCAATCAATCATGTTCATTTGACAACATCTAGGACGACCTATGGCCACCACATTTTTATGAGCTTTGACTTACAATCATAAAGATGACATTCATAAGAAAAGAATTAATGCACTATAATAGTAAAAGAAGAAAACATTCACACTGTGTCTGAGGCGTTTAAGCTAATATCACTTTATAATTTTCCCAAATTCATTTTACTTTATATGATCTTGATAACCAATTTTACAAGATAGCTAAGTTATTTAACAAGAATTAGATAGATCTATTAGACACCGGGCCACCATGCTATTTTAATTACTTCGTATTAGTAATTACTCCCTCCGTCCCGTTGTAATGTTCCCGGTTTGACCTACATACATATTAAAGAAATAAACTTACCAGGGGGTAAATTTTACTGTTTTGACACTGTTTGACGCTGTTTTGCACTGTTTGACCCTGTTTTGATGTAGGATAACTTTCCATTTAGGGAAATGGGAAGTTTCCAACGGGACATCCAAATAAAGAAAGCGGGAACATTCCAACGGGACGGAGGGAGTACATATTTATGACTAAAATGAACATTGTTTACAAAAATATGACTAGTGACTAGAGTAGTAATGAAATTATAGTAACCTAGTTACATTGTAGTAACTAATAGTCATATTTGTATAAAATAAATTTTATTTTAGTAATATTTTTGTAAAAAAATCTTATTATTATTAGTAGTATTATTGTGATTATTATTAATTATTAATATGTGTATATGTACGGGGGATGGGGCGGGGAAGGTGCGGGAGGTGCATAACCCATCACCCGCCCCATATTTAAGCGGGGAGGAAATTATACCCCCATCCCCATACCCGCCCCACCCCACCACCCGCCCCAACTCTCCCCCACGGGGCGGTTCCCCACGGGTCCCCACCCCCATTGCCATCCTTAACTGGTACATACATGGAAATCTTTATAGCACTTGGTGCATGTTTGGCTGGTTTAAGTTCCTGAGTTTTAGCTAGCTTTTACACTTTTTAAAGTCTCTAAAACCCTCCAACAAAGTATAGACTGATTACTAATCGATACAGATTACTAAAACAAAAAGCAACCTTCCCCCTCCAAACCCCCCTAAAAAAGTAACCACACTCCTTTAATTCAATGATGCACAAATGTTTAAATGGTAGCGCATGAATCTAAATTATCTTTGTGGTTTACGCAGATGAGCTGATAAGAACTTCCAGAATGTACCAAGAATACATGCAGAAGCTACCAGTCCCTTCACACCATGGCTCCGTCATCCCGTTCACATCATGGATGGGATTAGCTGCATCCCTTAAGAGGATGTACGGTCAGCCGTTGCATTACTTGACGAACATTCAGATGAAGCAATGGGACCAAGTAAGGATCGGAGCCCATGATGAAGATGTCCCTTTGGATACCATAGTCCATCCCTGCAAAGCGGAAGCCACCATCTGGGCCATCGAAGAGGTTAATAGATGTACCTGTTCACATATTTATTTGGCTAAACTCTGGCAAACCGATCCGCGGCATCACACTTTTGTTGATCCGATTGTTCCGAAGCTTCACACTTTGTCAAAGTAGTTGGCGGCTCTATTCCAGGCTTAAGTGAACTTTGAGTTGCTACATTACGGAAAACTACTACTCCCTCCGTCCCTTATAACTTTGTCAACTTTCTTTTTTTGGATGTCCTATTAACTTTGCCACTTTCCCTTTTAAGTAAAGAACTCGTGGTTTCAGTTAATTCTCTCTTCTCTGCACACACCTCAACCACCCAGTTTTTACATTATTAATCCCCGTACCGATCAAACTTGGCAAAGTTATTAGAGACGGAGGGAGTATGAATTACTTTACCTAGTTTATGCTCATTTGTGTACGTAGGCTTGTACTGATGTAGTCCAAGTGTCCAACATATGTGAGCAGTGATGCATATAACTTTATATTTATTATTTTGCAATCTTGTTTAGGTAGACCATTTAATTTGAGCATTCATCAAACATTCCAACAATATTTGAGTTTAACAACACATACAGTATGTCATATTCATAACACTTGCCACTTGGCTGTAACAAATAACGTACGAGGGAATTAAATAAGACTTAATAACAAACACAAATTTCAACAGAAGTAAATGTATTCTATGATTAATAATAGAGATACAAGTTTTAAATTATCAAAATATGAATTTCAATTCCTATTGTATCCTTTATCATCATATTTTAATAACCAACACAAATTTCTATTTTGCTGAGAAGTTGCGGCTCCCCTCAATAGGGTTTTTTCCGCCGCTTCTTTCAAGCATGTGATGTGGCTTGTTTATTTCCGGGTGGATCTGATTATTTTGATTCGGCCTGCCTTTGGTGTGATCATTTCCCAAGCATTCTAGGGGTTCTCTTCTCAGAGGTAAGTTTTTTCACTGTGCTCGGCAGTTTTGGTCTACCCTCTGTGGTAACTGGTAATGCTGGCAGGTTGCTTAGGCAGAATTTTGGAGTAGCATTGAAATCCCTCTAAGTGTTCTTATGATTCTTGGTGCAAAGCTTCCGCGTGGTGCAAGTCTAGTTCGGGGCTGGATGTGCGGATTCAAGGAGAACGTGATGTACAAGGAGAAGGATGAGGTAGAAGATGCAATATTGTCCGTTCGTCCTTCTCCGGAACCGCAGCCATGGAGGGATCAGGTGGTTAGGGTTTGGAAAATATGCTTCAAGTTTGGATCTGGCCGCATGCGATTTATTGCTCTGCTTTTCCTTCCAGTTTTACTTATGTCTGTTTAGACTTTTTACTATGTTTTGGCTTGCTTGTGATAGAGGTATTTTGGAGGTGCTTATGACCGTTATTTGCCTCAAATCTCTGGTATGTTCAGTGAAAAATTTCGCTCTATTTTGGGTAAATTTTTCTATGTCTGATCAAGGACTGATAGAACTCTTCGGCTACTTTGAGTTTATTGAAATGGTAGAGTACGGTGACCTCAAGGGTCATAAAGAACTCTATGTCGCTCTTTTGGTGGTTAGTGATTCGTGTTGCTTCTTTGGAGGTGACTATCTCAAAGTCCGATCATAGAGCTTTTCTTGAATCTAGATGGAATCAGTTAGAAGATAGTTGGTGCATCTCGAGCTTTTTGTTGATTGTAACTCCAAATTGTTGGTTAAATTAATAGTGTGGCATTTCTTTCAAAAAAAAAAACAAACACAAATTTCTATTTTATTGTACAAAAAAAAACTACTAGTTTTAGTCACCACAGGATTCGATTATGGTGTTGCCAATCTTTGACGATCAACTTCTTTTCTTACCGTTAATAGAACAAAGTTTTATCCTACTTTAGTATTACTTCTATGCTCAGAAAGAGCAAAGATAGAACATCATGATCTTTGAAAGGAAATATGTGCCCAAGATCAGTGACCAAAGCTTCAATATAATTGTTGCTCTCAAAATAATTTATATTGACTTCGTCCCACTCAAGTTTGTCAAATTGATGTTGGGTGTGAAGTCAAAATAATAAAAATTGTGCAGTTGAGTTTAGTGTAGAAGAAAGACAAATCAATGGAGCCACAAATTCATTGCTTTAAAATGAAAGTGATAAAATTTCACGACACACAAAAAAGAAAAGTTGTAAAGTCCAATGGGACGGATGGAGTAATATAAACAATGTGATTAGCTTGAATATAATTGGTGGAACTTTTTGAAATAATTGTTATAATGTAATCAATGTCATGAGCTTGCAGTTGATAAATCCATGCAGTAGAAGAAGAGCTGCGCTCATGATAACATGTTTATGGGGCTTCTTTGAGTCCTTAAATAGCTTTGCATAAGTGGCATATACGAGTAGGCTTGCTAGAGTAAAAAACATGAATGTTTTAGCTAGGGATGAGTATATGGATTTTCGATACGGTTTTGAACGGATTGGAATAATTCTTACGAAACAAAACCATCGGTTTGGATCGGTTTAGTTCTGTTTGGTTTCATTTTTTAATAACACATGAAGGTTTTATTGATTTTTTTAGTCTGGTTCGGTTTTTTTATGTATTTCTCGGTTTCGATTTGATTCTGTTTAATACGAATTGGAAGAAATACTACCAAACTCAAATCAAATTGCATATGGTCCGATTTTTGTTGGTTTAGTTTGATCCGATTAAACTTAACCAATATGTCCACCCCTAGTTTTACAATACACACATCATCACAAAGTTGTTCTTGTTAAAAGCACATTGTTAATATTAGTCTGGCTTAATTGAAAAGATGGATGTGAAACTTAGGGCATGAATTAGGTGCAATTCAGAATGTTTTGTGTCTTGAGAATGATAGGAAAATTGAATAGATAAATAAACCTCAACATCGCTAAATCGATAAAAGATTTTAACTAGACACAGAAAAAACGTTTTGTACTCGTTTGATTATTAGAGATTGAAGGAGAAATTTTGAAGTGTAGGCGTGCATGGGGGTTTGCTAATTGTGGATTAAGCAGTTAAAGCTTATACAAACAATGGTGCAATAAAGCAAAGAAAGAGTTCAGATGACACCATGCTTTATACCATATTAAGAATCTCTACTTCAGTACTTTAAAGGATCTTCTTTAGATGGCCGTGCTTAACTCTATGCGGATTTCGATGCATACGTCCCCTCGACCGTATACAATGATGGTTTACTTAGGTACTCCTCGACCTTTACACATGGTGTGTATCAAGTAGATTAATGAACATGCCCGTCTTCATGTGACCCAAACAAAGATGAATGTCAATTTTATTTGGGTACGCTACCTTACACGGACGGAGGTAGATGGAGGGCAACCGGGCCGCGGTGCACTCCAAAATTTAAAATTCTTTGTATTTTTAGTGTAAACGTTTACGTGTAAAAATTTATCTGAAAAAATTCTTTATACTGACTTACTCAAAATTTCAATCCTTGCTACGTCCCAAAATTTCAATCCTGGCTACGCCCCTTCTACCTTTTGTTGATTGGGTGCTTCTGAAACAACTCAACCGCAACTCTACTTCTGAAACGTCTTTCTCTTATTTTTTTTTGTACACATGACTCTTTGTACAAGATCAAATTATGTTACTCATATCCCTACAAAACTACAAATTTTGAACATTCTCACAAATCTATTGGCCATGCAAGTTGTTGGGGAGTAAAAGGATCAAGCTAATATGAGAGTAAACTACTTATTACTTTCAAGAATAGAAAGAAGAGACATACAAATTCTAACTAAATATTAAAAAAGCACCTCACATATATCTCAAAGATATTACACAACTCTTATTGGTTGTACGATGATGATCTAATATCTGATGTATTTGATGATAGAAAAGCTTTACAAGTTTTTGTATTTTGGGACCAAAACCGGGTAGGAGGAAGCTAGAAAAAGGTGCTAGAAAGCTCGGAGGAAGGTTCAATGGAGTGTGTGAGGAAGGTTTTTCCTTGATGTGAGGAATTGAAGCTTCCTTGACATGAGCTTTTGACTTCCATATCTTCCTAGAATTGAATTCTTCAATTTTTGCGATATTTCCAATGACATTTAAAACACTTGAAATGGAAGAGCATGAAAAAAGATATCATTAAATCAAATACTTGGCCTATTTTCTGTACTATAACGTTTTCAGAGTAAATAGAGCATATTTGGCATAAATAGAGTCTTAGATTTGAAATCCAGTACATTAGGTAACCGTCCTGTCATATTTTGAAAGTGAAGCCTGAATACGAGCTTTAGAACCCGATAAGAATTTTTGTAACGCGATAAGAAACGCTTGCAACGCAATAAATTACAACAAGATATGATCAAGTCAAATACTACGCACACGTGTTCAGGTCAACCCAACAATGTTTTTTAATTTATGAATAATATGTACCTATACTTTGTTGTGTGTTAGTTTGAAAACGAGGTTTAGAACTCAAGAACATATTTCCAACGAATTATAAAACGATTGAAACGGGACGAAATAAAGCAAGATATGATCAAATCACATACTACACGAGTTCGAAGTGAAATCAGAAATCTTTATGAATTTTAGGTTGATCTATACCTATTCTTTACTACATTGAAAATGAAGTCCGAACACTAGTTTAGAAGTCAAAATGATCTTTCCAACAAGATATAAACAACTTGAAATGGAAGAACATACAACAAGATATGATAAAATCAAAATACTTCGTTTTTATCTATAATATAGCGTTTTCATAGAATAGAGTCTTGGATTCAAAATTCGATTTATTAGGTAAGTAGCCATCACATAATATTTTGAAAAAAAAGTCTTGACTTTACTGGGAGGGCTTTACCATCCATGATCGATATGTGGGGTCACTTGCTTCATAGGTAGATTTCCTGGCCTCAAAGCCATTTATGAATTGAGAGAAAAATGGGGTGTGAGATGCCTCATAAGGCCCCATGACAAAGGATGAGTCATTTTCAAGTTTCAAAATGAAGTTGATAGAGCTAAAGTACTGAATGAAGGGCCGTATAACATTTTTGGGAAACTCTTAATGCTTAAGGAACTTGGAGATGATTTTTCGTTTGATGATGAAGAATTTTTAAAGGTACCGATTTGGGTTAAATTCCCTAATCTACCTTTAAAGCTTTGGAATGATGAGGCTATGAGCGAAATAGCATCCATGGTGAGTGTTCCACTAACTACGGACAAGGTTACCCAAGAAAAAACTAACCACCATTTTGCTAGAGTGCTAATCGAGGTGGATCTTTCGAAGCCACCAACGCTATCATTTCCTATACGGTTACCTTCCCGAAAGGTACTCAATCAAAGGATGGTTTATGAAACATTCCCGAATTTTTGTTTCCATCGTAAAGAATATGGGCATCACCCATTTATTTACAAAAAGCTAGCCGAGAAGGAACGGGGGATGAATGACAATGTTGTACATGATGAGGATATTGCAAGGGCGGGTGGGATGGAAACTCTAGCTCCTCTGGCTCAGGTGGACGCTGCTACCCCGGAATCAACTAAGCTGGCAGTTTTGGAGGCTGCTCCACCCGAACCACCTGCTGCTTTTGTTGAGGCTGCTTCGCTGGAACAAGGGGCTGCTACTCCGGCTGTCCTGGTAGCTGCTACGCCAATTGCTGCTGCACCACTTGCTGCTACGCCGGATTTGAAAACCAAGAAGGTCATTGATACACACCAGGCTTCCGCCTATGAGACTTGAGCAAAAGAAACTGTTAATGAGCAAATCTGTTTGCCAATTTCTAGGGAGGAGGACCCGACAGGGGCGAATCTAGCATTAACGTTCAGGTGGGGTCAAAATTTAATTAAATAACGTATATTAAAAAAAATGTCAAAATGTAGTACAATATAATAATATCTTAGAAGTCAAAATGTAAATTATAGAAATGTCAAAGAATAAATTGAATATTACAGAACCGACAATACAATTATCTTAAAAGTCATAGATATCGAACCGAAGTTTTATCGGTTACCCAAATGTTTAGTGCCAATTTTTAGGTTAGTTTCTCGGAAACAAGATAAACCGATTTTTTTACTCTAAAATCTATACTCTATGTAAAGAAAACTTATTTTCACCTACGAAATCCAATGTATTCAACTAATTAATTTTTCGATCAATATTCAAAAGCCCAATGAATTAAACTAATTAATTTTTAGGACAATATTCAAAAAGCTCAATCAATTGAACTAATTGTTTTTTCAGACTAATAAAGCCCAATTAGTTGGACTACTTAATTTTTGCATCCTAGTATTCAAAAGTTAAAATTCTGACTTGATTTGTGTAAGATAGCATGTTCCTGGACTTGGATGGAAAATACAAAAAAAATGATGCTCCAGCTAGGAATTGAACACATAACCTCTACATTGTCAATCATGCCTCTACCATCACACCAACGTAACTTTTGTTTACAATAGGACGTTTGTCCTAATTATACCATTTCTTCCCAGCACATATATAGTACGGAGTATATATATACTAGTAATTTCTTTTTTTTGAGGTGGGGCCTAGGCCCTCCCTGGCCCTATGCCAGATCCGCCCCTGGGACCCGAAGTTGCCTACTTCTGAGGAAGAGGACCCGCTTAGTTGGCTGCGGATACTACCAAGTTGAGATTAGTAGGGATTCTTTTTTCCCTCAGATTAGTGATTTTTGATTCTATTATTCAGGGGCCTGTCCCGATTTTTACAGAGTTAGTTGGTTGGGAGGGTTTTATCTAGGTTAGTTAATCCTAGCCTAGGTAGTGTGTTTCTGAGTGCTTTGACACATTCTAAAATGTTATTTTTGGGTGTTTAATTTAATTACCTTTCATCAAAAAAATTGAAAAAAAGTCCAGAAACGAGTTTAGAACCCGATAAGATCTTTCCAACGAGATAAAAAAATGCTTGCAACACTGTGACACTGCACCCAGATTACTTGGATTTAGAATCCTCAATTTAATTATTGTATTTGAAATTTCTTTCGGTATCATGCATGTCCCACGCCAAGATAAAGGATGAAGGTGTTGAGGTAGGCGCATGACGGCCAACATTATCACTTAGTCACATCACATGACATGAATCAAAATATGAATATCGCTACAGCTAGGTCGTCGCCCGTAAATGACGCGTCATTTCTCCGCCTGGGGGTGGTGTCAAATGAGCAAGGGCGCACTACACTTCATAGACCTGGGTGTGGTGACAAGAATGCTAAGGCTGCTAGGTCATCGTCAGAAGTGACGCACCACTCCGATGCCCGTGTATGGTGTCAAAAATGCAAGGGCGTGGTCGAGGTCGATGTGGTGTAAAGAAGAGAAGGCAGGGTGCCAGATTGCGTTTTGAGACATGGAATGTTGGCTCTCTTACGGGAAGATCATCCGAGATAGCCGAGGTTATGAAGAGGAGGAATATTCAGCATAATGTGCATGCAAGAAACTAAGTGGGATGGATATAAGGCACATGAGATTAATCCTGGAGGTTTTAAGCTGTGGTATACGGGGAGAGGGAGGAACGGAAATTGAATAGCCATTATGGTGGCACATGATATATTGAGGGTGTGGTTGAAGTGTTTTTAGGAAGAACGATCACATCATGATCATTAAGTTGACTATAGGAGATGAGATCGTGTTCATGGTAAGTGCTTATGCACCATAAGTGGGATTGAATGCATCTATCACTCAAATTTTTTGGAGGATCTTAAGGAAGTGGTGCAACGAGTGCCAAGGGGAGAAAAGCTTGTCATAGGAGGCGACCTCAACGGGTATGTGGGCCCAAGTCGTGATGGTTTTGAGAGTATCCACGGAGGACATGGTTTTCGCACTAGAAATGAAGCGAGGAAGAACATTCTGGATTTTGCCGCGACTTATGAGTTGGTTGTGATGAACACTTGGTTCAAGAAAAGTGACTCTCACCTTGTCACTTATAGAAGTGGAGCTAATAGTACTCATATTGACTACTTTTTAGTACATACGACTTGGAAAACTAGCTACCATGATTGTAAGGTTATCCCAAGTGAGAGTGTTGTCACCCAACATATATAGGATGCTTGTGCTTGATTTTCAAGGTAAAAAGAGGACGCAGATTAAGGTACAAGGGGAGCCAAAGATAAAATTATGGAGGCTCGAGGGAATTTTCCAACAAATTTTTGCACACAAAATGTTGGAGGAAGATGTATGGTCTATTGATAATGACACACATGCGGATGATGTGTGGTTATCAATGGAGTCCACCATTAACAAAGTGGCGAAGGAGATACTCGGAGAATCCAAAAGATGTCTGCCACTAAAAAAGGACTTCTTGGTGGAATGATGAGGTGAAACAAGCAATAAGGACCAAAAGGGAATGCTATAAGAAATTGGGCAAAAGTTGGAACGAAGAGAACATAGAGGAGTACAAGGAGGATGGATGAAGAGCAAAGAAAGCTATGAAGGAAGCCAGAGGAAACGTGAACAAGGAATTGTATGTAAATTGGACTCCAAGGAAGGAGAAAAAGACATCTACAGACTTGCTCCCTTTCGTGACCGTAGGTCTCAAGATATCGAAAAAGTTAAGTGTGTGAAGGATGTCGACCAAAGGGTACTAATGGAGGAGGAGTAATGGAGGATGATTAAATAAAAGAGAGATGGATGTCATACTTTGATACCTTGTTCAGCGGGAATAAAGTGCAAGGTATTGATGAACTTACTATAACAGAGTGTATGGTAAATCGTGACTTTGTGAGAAGGATTCAAATAACAAAAGTTAAAGAGGTTATGAGAAAAATGGGGCGGAAGAAAACAGTTGGCCCAGATGGCATACTGATCAAGGCTTGGAGAAATTTGGGAGAGAAAGGTATCGAGTGGCTAACACGTTTCTTTAACATGATTTGGAGAAACAACAAAATGCTAGTGAGTTGGCGAAAGAGTACTCTCATTTCTCTATTTAAAAATAAGGGTGATGTACAAGAATGTGCCAACTATCGAGGGATTAAGCTTATGAGTCACACTATGAAACTTTGGGAGCGAGTGGTTGAGCAAAGATTGTGTAAAAATGTGAAAATGTCGGAGAATCAATTTTGTTATATGCCTGGACGGTCAACAACTGAGGTCATTCACCTTCTTAGACAAGTTGTGGAAAAGAATAGAAACACAAAAATGATCAACATTTGGTGGTCATTGACTAAGAAAAGTCATATGATAGGGTATTACAAGTGTCCGCAGTAGTGTAGGGAGGACCGTAGAGTTCCCTATTACTATCGTAGTGCACCAATGATCTGCTCTGAGTCCTTTCTTATTTGTTATAGTCATGGATGAACATACGAAGTCAATTCAAGAAGATATATCATTGTGCATGATATTTGCCGACGATATTGTATTGATTGATGAGACGCAATCCGGTGTTAAGGCGAAGTTTGAAGTATGGTGACAAACATTGGAGACCAAGGGATTACTCTTGATGACAAGGAGATAACAGTGTGTGATATGTTCCGTTATTTGGGCTCCATAATTCAAAAGGATGATAAATTAGATGAAGATGTATGTCATGGAATCAGAGCTGGGTGGATGAAATGGAAGAGTGCATCAGGATTTCTATGCGATCGAGGTATGCCGACTAGACTCAAAGGTAAATTTTATCGAACAACAATAAGGCCTGCATTAATGTATGGCGTAGAGTGTTGGGCGGCAAAGCAATGCCACATTCAAAAGATGAGTGTGACAGAGATGCGTATGTTGCGTTGGATGTGTTGACATACCAGAAAAGACCGCTTGAGGAATGAGATAATCAGACAAAAGGTGGGAGTAACACCTATAGAAGATAAGATGCAAACGTCTCGTTTGCGGTGGTTTGAGCATGTGCGTAGAAGACCGAGTGATGCACCTGTTCCATGACTTGAGGGGTGGGGAGAAGAGACAGAGAAGAGAGGGAGAGGAGACTCAAACAGACTTAGATGAGAGGAATCAGAACTGATATGTATCTTCTTGGGTTGGATGTGTGTACGGCTTTAGAGAGAGCAAAGTGGAGGGCGCACATCCATGTGTACGATTGATGTCTTTTCTAAATTTCCTCTCTCTTTTCTTTTGTCATTTATCTTCTTTATCTTTTATATTCTTATGTTATTTTTATCTTCTAGCTTTTTTATGCTCTTTTATTTTTCTATCTTTTATCTTTCTTATATTCTTATGTTATTGTTATCTTATATTTATTTATCTTTATTTTATTTTATTTTTCATAGTCCCCCCCTCCTTGTCCGTCTCTCTGTTTGGCATCGATATCATAGATCGATTCATGTTAGTCGACCCAAATTCTTTTGGGATTAAGGTTTGGTTGTTGTATTTGAAATTTCTTTTATTAATGTTGCATAAGATGATTAAGGATTTAATCGATAAACAATTAATTGAATTGTTTATCGGACCCAGAATCTAGAGGGACTACTTAAAACATTTTTGAGTCATCTTATTAATTATCGGCGCCCAACATAATGGAAAGGAAGTTATATAAATTGGTTGGGCCGAACTAAGAATGATCGGGCATCACAAGTAATATTTTGAACTCTTCAATATGCTTGTAACTTAATTTGTTCTGGAAATTGAATTCTTCAATTCTCTGACGTCAGACATATTAGAAAAAACATCCCAATTATTGTCTGCACAACTCTAGCTTATCTCGTGTCACAACCTTTTTGGACTACTTTACTCCATCTTTATTAGATATATCTCTTCAAAACCTCCCTGGTTCACCATCTTCAGTCAGCAAAAGGTATGTAGATGATGTGTACCTTTTTGATGGTGTATGACCTCATTCAGATCTACGAATAACTGAACCAATTGAGAAGAATCACCATCATTTGTGCTCATGTCTTTCGTATGTACCTCTTCATTGAACAATACAAGCTTGACTAGAGACATGGTAAATTTACCACTTGGGGCTGAGTCGTTGGGAGTAGACTCTAATGTTTTCCAACTATCATGAAGAGAACTAGGACGTAGTAGAGATTGCACATTTCATCTCCAAGCTAAGTGGCATTTCAACACAAAATAATTAACCAACCAGACTCTGGAATTCACAGGTATTTCGACAACAAAATTTCCACTTTTGAGCTTCATATTGACAAGAGTGGAAATTTTGCTATTAAACATATTGACAAAATTTCACTGCTTATG